GACAGGTGTGCGCTTGCATCTATAGAATTGTTACCACGCTTAATGCGTGCCTTCAGCATAACCTCAGTCAATTACCCGTGGGAAATCTAGCATTATTAAACCCAAAATATGGGCTGCCACCACTGCCCAGGATTGGTCTCTAACACTCTTCAAACGCCTCAATGGAAGGCAGCGATGGATGTTGAACTTTCAGCGTTGATCTACAACAATACTTGGACCTAGTTCCATCCTCCACAGCTCACAATGTTGTTGGTTGCAAGTGAGTTTTTTGAATCAAGCGAACCTCTAATGGGTCCATTGAGCGCTACAAAGCCCATCTTGTCGCCAGACTTCCACCAACATCCTAGTGTTGATTATTTTGAAACCTTCACCCCAGTTGTTAAGTCTTCCACCATACGTGTTGTTCTATTCTTGGCTGTTTCTTCTGGGTGGTAACTTAGGCAACTGGACTTTAATAATGCCTTTCTGAATGGCACCCTCAAGGAAGATGTTTACATGGCTTAACCACCAGCTTTAAACATTTCACATTTCCTCGTCACATCTGCAAACTAAATAAGGCAATATATGGCCTCAAACGGGCACCTCGGGCATGGAATGATGAGTTAACGTCTATGTTGTTATCCTGGCATTTTCAACACTCTAAATCTGATGTCTCTCTCTACTACCTATGATCAATCTTACGATTATTCTCCTTCTAATCTATGTTGATGATGTTATTCTCATAGGAAATGACATCACATTCATTGATAATTTCATTTGCATGCTGGATAGTCGATTTGCCCTCAAGGATCTCGATCGGTTAAGCTACTTCCTTGGCATTCAAATTGACCACTTGCCTATGGGTCTCTTACTTAGTCAAGCAAAATATATTGACGATCTACTCCCCAAACTAAACATGCAGCATCTCAAGTCGTGCCCTCCTCCCGTTGTCACCAGCATCCAACTCTCCCTTAGTGACGGACAAATCATGGTAGACCCTTTCCTCTATCGTAGGCACTGTTGGTGCATTGCAACACACCCGGCCGGACATTTCTTACATCGTGAACAAGCTCAGTCAATTTTTAAAGGCCCCGACGGATGTTTATTGGCATGTTGTCAAACGTGTTCTTCGATATCTTAAGGGTAGTCCTACTCTCGGTCTACTTATTTAGCTCGGTGACTGTCTCACTCTCATAGCTTACGCGGATGCTGATTGGGCTATCAGCTAGGGATGGCAACGGGACGGGGCAGGGCCCGGGGGGGGGGCATCCCCATCCCCACCCCGTTGGGGATTTTTCCCCCATCCCCGCCCTCGTCCCCGTCCCCGAAATTTTGGGGACGGGGAACCCGTCCCTGTTATAAATATATATATTTTTATTTTTATTTTTAATTTTAACTTTTAATTTTTAATTAATTTTTGTTATTACTTGTATAAAAATTGAACAAAAAGTGGCTAAATGGGATATTAACTTGAGTTTTTTTTTTAAAAAAAGTATTTATAAAATTAATATATATTAGTATTATTATATAAAAAAATAGAAAAATATTAAAATATTAAACGAGGCGGGGACGGGGGCGGGGACTCGTCCCCGCCCCCCGTCCCCTCTGAGAACCCAGATTGGGATCTCTGGTTTGACCCCGTCCCCGGTCAAATCGGGGATTCCTTGACCCGATCGGGTAGGATACCCGCGGGGATCGGGTCCCACAGGTTTTTTGCCATCCCTACTGTCAGCATTGACGATCGAAAGTCTATTGCTGCATATTGTGTTTTCCTTGGTGATTCGTTGATATCCTGGTCCTCAAAGAAGCATAATGCTATTGCTCGGTCCAGCATTGAGTCTGAATATTGGGCTCTGACCCATGCCTCAGCTAAAATCACTTGGGTTCAACAGCTTCTTCAAGAGATTCACTTCCCTCTTTCCACTACACCCGTACTTTGGTGTGATAATCTCGAAGCTGGTGTCTTAGCCTCTAACCCAGTGTTCCATGCGCACACCAAACACATTGAGACGTTACCAGGTCCTTAATAACCACCTTGATGTTCGATGTATTCCCTCTGTCGACCAGGTTGCCAATTGCCTCACCAAACCTCTTGCCCACTCTCAGTTTGCGTATTTGCATTCCAAACTCGGGCTGTTTTTCCCATCCTCTCGTTTGCGGGATGTTATGAAGTGCAAGTCAATAGGCCAACAACCAACCCCATAATCTTCTCAAAATCAAGTTATATCGTTAATATTTGTGTAACTACTCTAATACAAAATTTCCCGTTAGTTTTACTTTCTAAAATTAATTCTCTCACCCCTCTATTTAAAGGTGAGACTTACTGTGTTCATACACACAAAAATTAAATAAAAAATTCAGTTACTTCATTTTTTTTTAATTGTTTTCTTAACTAATCTTCCATACCATAAAATTTGAGATTTACCCAACTTTTAATGTGAAGTCTAAATAAGGATAGTTATCTTCGAATTTTGATTTGGAATTTAAGCTCATTCCTTCCATGTTCAACACAATTTTGCATTTGAGAGAAAAAGGATTACATATAAGAGATTTTTTTTAAGTATAATATGTGGGGTGGAGATGAACTCACAGCCTCCTGGTTCCACTGAGCTATGCTCATTTGGTCTCTTTTTTCACCGAAATTTCAACATAGAACAAATTACAGTAAATTAAAATCAAATCAGAACCATATTTCAAAGAAAAAGAAATCAAATCGGAACAAGAAAGAGCTTACATATTTCTTGTGCCATGTCTTTAAAGGCTTTCCTTTCTTATTTTTGTGAATTTTTAGTTAGATTAAAGAATTATATTCTATGTTTAAAAAGATGAGCTGTGATATAAAAATAATGAAAATTTGATCGTCATATTTGATAACATTTTTCATTTTCTATTTTTTATTTAATTAATTATTTTTAAGAAAACACGTGTTGATAATTGTGTAAGGTGTTTTTCCTTTCTTATTATTAATAAGCGTCTTCACAATTTTATATAAATTTTGAGGAAAAAAATCTATTTTGACATGTTAAAATCTTGAAATTCTTTAGACTGGACGTAAATAAAAAGGACACATACTATTTACGTTAATAATATTAAAAATTTGTACTAAAAGAAAAAGAATATTAGCAATTAACAATTAAAAAAATATATACGTAAAAATCGAAAAATATAATATAATTGCATGCAGGGGCGTCTCGAGATGATATATGGTTTAGACAAAACTTTGAAAGGGAGGATATATGGTCTTAGGCAAAACTTTGAAAGGGAGACCTTAATATGACTATTTTTTTCAGTTGAACTTTATTTGATTTGATGCGTCATTTTAAAAAATATCATTATCTACTGTTTTTGTTTATCTTTTGATTAGTCTATACTTATCATTTCTTCTATTATTTTATCATTTTTTTATTACTTTTACTTCACTAAAAAATTTATTGATAACATATTCTTGAGATTCAATCCGTTTTTTAGCACATTTTTTAGATTGAATAAGTTTTTATATTTTAAATTTTCGTAAGCTTTTCATACTAGATATATTTTTTTTTTATAGATACATTAATATTTTATATTGATACAAGTAAGCAAATCTAAACAAATCTCAAATATCCACCTATCTAACAATATGAAATACATTTTAAAAAGAGTAAAAGAAATAGAACGAAAAAAACTTAGAATAATAAAATTTGAAGCTTTGGTTTTTATTCTAACAATTGGGAGAGGTGGAATTAAGTTAAAATTAGTATAATCTATCCAATATATTTATGGTAGAGTTTTTTTAAGAGAATTCGAAAATTTTTAATTGTGAAAAAAATAAATAAAAGAAGAACAAACGGTCTAAAACTTGTAAGAGTTTTGAGAGGTTATATTATTATTATTTTTTTTTAACGAAATTTAAAGGTTTTAAACATGAAAAATATAAAAATAACAAAATTTGAAAGGTATCAAATTAAAATTGAGAGTTTCTATGCTCTTAAATATTGAGAACTTTTTTTTTCTAGAATGGAGTTTAGTATCCGACAAATTTATTGTGAAGCAGATTCTTGTACAAATTGGCTTGCTAATCAAACAGTATTTCTTTCCTTACGTTTACATATTTGTGAAGAGCTTCCTAATAGTCTCTTTTGCCCTATAGATTGCATACGTAATGGGGTCTACATGCTCCGTCTTGTCATTTTTTCTTAGTTTGGTGGGCTTTAGTCCCGTTCCCTTCACAAGAAATTAAAAATTTAAATCTAGAGAAATTTTGTGATTGATTTATTATGGGGTTTCCATGAAGATCTAAATTTAATTAAATATTTTTTTTTCAAGAGAAGTATATTTATTATTAATTTGTATAGAACATGTATGGTATATATTATTTTATATTTTCAAGTAAATTTATAAGTAAAAACTAATAAATAGATAATAATATTATATTATAGTATATATACTAATATATGAAAAATGTGAGGCCTTTTAAGATTTTGGGCCTGAGGCGATCGCCTTACTCGCGGGCCCTGATTGCATGTACATTTTCCTCAAAACATTACTAATCTCCCTAATCTTTTGTAATTTACTCCAAAAAAAAAAGGATGAAAAAAATCAATTTTGCCTTTATTAAACTGTGAGTAAACAAAAGCAAAAGATCAGGAAGGATATAACGCATGTGAAGGAGAATAATTTAACATTAAAAAAAAAGAGAGAGAGATTTTAAATGGACAAAATGGGTAATAATCTAGCTAGTTTATTGTAGCACAAATATGGAAAAGAAAATCATAAATAATAAAACAAAATATAATTCTAAATAAATAATTTGAAAGATTGTGATTTATTTAAACAAATAAGGAACGAATCCAATCAAATCAAGAGAGGAAAATTTTTAAAATCAAACATTGCAAATCAAATCATACCATTACGGAAAAATATTTCTCTCTCTCTCTTTTTTTTTGTGTAGTTTTTGTTGAGTGCGTGCTTATATTTATTTTCTACACCACCACATAGTTATGGTTTTAGGTCCTCAAACACAAACTAAACAGCATTGAAGAATGTCAGAATATTATTCTAATTCAAGTGAGGACGAGAGATCATCAGACACAGAGTACAGAGTGGAGTCTGAGAGTGAATCGGATTCGGAAGACGAACAGCGTCGCCGAAGAAGAAGAAGAAGGCACACGAAACCGAAAACAAAGAAAAAGAAAGCTGCATTATCATTCAAATGGCGGGAAGAGGATGAAGTGTTTGTGTTGAAACAACTGTATGAATTCTCAGGGAAGAACGCGACGTATTCGGAGGAGTTCTATGAATTTGTGAAGAAGAAATTAGGCGGCCAAGTTTCGATGCATCAGATGAGGAACAAAATACGTGGGTTGAGAAGGAAATATTTGGAGAATGATGAGTGCAATGGCCTCAAATTCTGTGGGTCTGGGTCTCAACAGCACCAACGGAAGGTGCTTGCATGGTCGAAGAGAATATGGGGAGCAGCCGAGAACGAGAACGAGAACAAAAACAAGAACGGAGGAGGCACACGCAGCGTGGAGCAATATGAAAGAGGATTTGTGGAGTCTCTTGAGGAGATGGAGATTGAGATGGATTGTTTGAAGCCTTCATGTTTGGAATTTCTTTACAAGGACTGGGAAATTCAAACACTTATGCACGTTCAGCTTTTGTCCAACAAGTGCAAGTTGGATGCCAAGCTCACGGAATTGTGTATCCAATTTCTAAACACCCCGACCAATACTAAATAAATCTTCAAATCTATGCGTTAGTTGTTTTGGTGTTAAATCTTTATGTAAT